GTTTAGGGGTTTAGGGTTTTAGCGGCTTAGGGTCCACGGTTTAGGAGTTTAGGGTTTAGGGTCCAGGGTTTAGGGTTTATATTCTCCCTGGAGTAGATAGAATATGGCTTTGGGTATATTATACTAAGATCCCCACATACCCCATCTTCTATCTACTTAAAGGGGACGATAGGGTTTACGGTTGAGGGGTTTAGCGCTTATGGGTGGGTGTGTGGGTTTGGGCTTTAGTTTTAGGGGTATGAGTGTTTAGGGTTTAAGGGATGAAGATGCTTGCGCTCTCAAGTCATACGGTCAATTCTGCATGACTCTTCGTACCTTGTATTCTCGGAAATTATGCATTACTATAGTATACTAAGGTCATGCAGGATCTCTGCAGTACGGCTTAGGTTAAGACATATATGTGCAAGGACTGGAGACGAAGATGGATCTACTGTTCAGGGTTGAGGCTTCTAAAACCTGAACCCTAAACTGCAAACCCTAAACGCTATTGGGATTTTAGGTCCGGGGGTTTAGGTCACTTTGAAGAGGCGAGGTTACGGGGTGATGTTTACCTATAGGAGTAGAAGAGTGAAAGGGGTTATATGGGAAGATCTACCTATAGATAAATGCTTGCCCTTCTAAAACCCACCTTGAGGGTGATGGCGGCCCCGTGAAACGCTGTAATGCTCAAAAATTCCCAGAACGCCAAAATCTGAACCTCACCAAGCATTGCAATGCTCAAGAAATTCCAAACGGTTTAGAACTTCTGGCATATGTGAGTGGGACATCTGGAAATACGCGACAATTTTGGGCTTTTGTTCTGGAGCAATACTATATTGGTGATGGTGAGGGCCACGAAACACTGTAATGCCCAATTAATTTCACCAAATCCAGAATCAGAGCCTTACCAGAAATTTGGTTCTGTTGGAATGTTTGGAGCATGCCAGTGTTTGGTGAGGTTGAAGGTCAGGATTTTACGGAGTTTTTTTAGCGCATTGCAATGTGTGTTAAGGTTGAAGGCAACAACACGATTTGAACATGCCTTGTGCTGATGTCTTGACTTACACGGTAATTTTCTTAAGCAACTACCCACTTTCGCTCTCTACTAATATGTTCTGACCTTCGTTGCTGCCATGCTCCAAGATCGGGCTGATATGTCTTGCAGAATGCTTTGGATGCCTCGAACTCGTGTTCTTCGCAACTTGAAGATAAGCCTTTCTGTATTCGTTCTCATTCAACTTGGTATGGATGTACATGGGAGTGGACCAGATCGAAGATTCGACTTCCTCGATATAGGGGTCAGGGTAGCAGCATTACAAGACGGCGATAAGGGAACAAGGGAACATGTGCAGCCTAAGCTCGAGAGAAGTAAGAGCACTTGAAACTCTGAGCCCTATACAATGTTGGCCCCCTAAACCCTCCCTACACCTTGAAATAATATATCATAATATGCTATAATATAACCCAAAATATAACCCCAATAGAATCCCCCTATAATTCAAACATTACCCCAATGAGGTCCCCCACCTTAAAAGCAGGTCTTTAGAGCCGGCCGGGACCCAGAACTCTAAGCTCCAAACCTTTATAGGGTTTAGGGTTTAGGGTTTAGGGTTGCAGGATTTCAAGCCCTACCCCGCAACCAAAAAAAAAACCTAAGCCTGACACCCCCCAAACCCTAAACCGCCCGGGCGGAAAACTGAAGCTAAAAGCTCTATGAAAGCTTAGTCCACACGAGCTATAGTCTAAATTCCTAGTATCCCCCATAATAATCCCCATAGTATTCCCCCATATAATCCCCTCTTTAACCCCCTTTAAGGAGTTTAGACTATAGCTCACATCCCTCTTGTCGTACGAAGATCGCCCCACCTACCGGCATGCCTGTCCATTGTTTTTGGGATGAAAACATTTTCCTATGTGCGCATGTAGGGGCTTTGAGTGTCCTTGAACTGTTAGCGGCTGCATGCGTTCGGGTCCCCCTGCCCTAGAAACCTAAACCCCTGGACCCTAAACCCAGACAATTATGGTGTACCCTCAACAAGCTCAACCTGAATGTTCATTCGACGCCTTGCGTAGGTTACCCCAGGCATAAGTTGAGCTTCTGTCATAGTCATAATATGGGAGTTTACCTAAATAGGGAAAAACCCAATGTGGACGACCCCCAAAGTACTGTAGTCCTTCTGATTGGAGACCCCAAATTAATACCCCTAATTTTGGAAAACCCCCCATATGAACCATAATCTAAACTCCTTAAAGGGGGGTTGTATAGGGGATTATATAGGGAACTACGACAGGGGTTATTACGGGGCATACTAGGAGTTTAGACTATAACCCCTATAATCCCCTATATCATCCTAGTTTCCATTTCATTTTCCATTTTCTTTTCCATTTGATTCTCCACTATAGGGGTTATTAAGGGGGATAGTAGGATCATAGATAACAACAATAAACCCTAAACCCTAAACCCTACACCCTAAACCCTACACCCTAAACCGTAAACCCTAAACCCTTATGACTCACATAAAGTTTCAAAGTCCCGTAAACCTCAGACCTGGGATCCCCCCAGGACCCTTTTAGGGTTTAGGGTTTAGGGTTGAGGGTTTAGGGCTTAGGGTTTAGGGTCTAGGGTTTCAATCACATGTTTGTGGATTTTTGGGGCCCCTTTTTAGGCACCGATGAGGGGATTCCGGTGTGGATTGGGTCTAGAGAGGGACTCTAGCCTTCAAACTTTGAAAACTTAGCTGCTATGGACAGTTGGATAGCATGACAGGTAGGTAGATATCCTAGGTCTGTTCGACATAAAGTGTCTCTGTGATGAGAGACGGCATTCGTGTGGGGTAAGTCTAGCAAGTAAGTTTGGGAACATACCAGTACAATCCCTAAAGCCTAAACCCTCTCAAGAAGCCTCCTACAATTCTCGTACAGCCCTGCCATTATGGGCTATTAGACCCTAAAATTCCTTATTAGGACCCTATTAAAGGTAGATTAAGGTACCCTTAAGGTCTAATAGCCCATGGTGGTGGCATCCCATAACTCGGAACCCTAAACCAGGTTGAGACAACCGAAGCCAAAGCTCTGACCCTTAGACCAGCCCTGCTCCCCCACCTGCATCTGAGCCATAGTCTAAAGTCCTTTAAAGGGGGTTGTATAGGGGATGATATAGCCCTAGGGAGACTAAGGGGGATACTAGGAGCTTAGACTATGGCTCATATCAGTAAGAATCCTGAGGGTGAACTCTAAACCTGAAAACCCTAAATCTAGTTTCCAAATCCCTAAATCCTAATTTCCTAAGCCATAAACCCTAAACCTTGAGTCCTTGCTTTTCAAACACGGCCGAGGAAACTTGTCGAGCAAGAGTCGCCCTCTAGCGACATTCCAAAATCTTTCTGGCTGTGAGAGCAAGGACCTGGCTACACTTTGGGTCCAGGGTACAGCGTCTGGGGTTTTGCGTCTAGGGTTTAGTTCAGGGTGTACAGGCAAGGTCGCACGCTCTGGCGGGGCTCTATGACGTTGCTCTTTAGTAGCTACCTGTGAGGATGTTGTGCAAGGTTTTCTTCTGCAGCTGCTTTGGTGCGGTTGTGTTCGATGCAGACGTGGCGGGGCTACTTATTGCGAGGCTGCAGGCCGAGGAAGTCAACCCTTGATGTCAGCGTGCCTTGGAGCCGCTCAGGTGCCCTGGGAGCACTCAATAAACAGAACGGCAACGGCTGAGACTGGGTCTGGGAGTGGTGCAGCGAGCTGGGATTGGATTGGCAGGGAAACGAGCACAATCAAACCTTAGGTTTTGTTTAAAACAAAAAAAAGTTCTAAAGCTCAGAGTTGGTTTAGGAGCCACCCAAAACAAATGAGATTTGGTCTGGGAGCACTTGGGAACTCTGCTTTGGTTTTCTGCAGCTCAGATTTTGTCTGGGAGCCGCTCGACACAGCTCAGATTTGGT